TTTTTGATGAGGAAACTAAGTTTCTGAATCATCTGTCTATGGTAATAAAGGTAGTAAATGAGACAGAGTTTCCCTGTGGGCTTCTAACTCCTGAGTCCATCCTTTCATGTACTCTTCTTTATTCTCCCTTCTCTAGTGAATGCCAACCACTGACCAGACCCTACACTGAATGCTTTACATGTACTGTCTTACTTGCCCCACAGCAATCTGAATAACTGAAATTCCCACTTAAACAGAATGGAATTAGCTTCAGCAGATTAAGACACTTGCCTAAAACTACACAACTGGGTATTAGTAGAGGCTTATTTTAAAGGAACTGTGATTCCAAAAGCTAACTCTTACTCACTACGCTGTACTGAGCTTATTCCAAATTTTGTCAGGTTATACTGAGAAAGGATACTTGATGCTTATTAAAAGAAGTCATATTCAGGCACTGTGGAGGGCAGGACGTGCCTTTTAAAGGTTCTCTGGGTGTGAAATCCAGCAAATTACAGATATTGTGTGCAATGGCACTGTCTGCCCTGTTGTGGTGAACAAAAGAGTAGGCTACAGACAGGAGAGTGTAAAGTTTTCTGGGTTGCTGCTCTTCAGAGACAGTGATAAAACAGTTATAAGTTATCTGCAGATGACCTTCCCCAGAAGAGCCTGACCTGAAGGTCACAAATGGGTTATAAACACTCTGCAAAGAGTACATGGGGCTGTTTTTTATAAGCATGATAGGAAGTGTAAAGAAAATTTTACTTAACCCTCAGGTTATCTCATTATTCTAGTTGAAATAATTACCCAGCCTAACCTCTATACCTTTTCACTTGAACTTGACTGAACTAATGAATTGTCCTGCTGGCCAACTTACTCTGATGTCTACAGGACTGAAGGTTTGGCCTTTCTGTCTCATAGAATAAAGTCCTAAATGATGGGAGCCAGCAATGGTAGACACATAAATAAATTACATTGGAAAAATTAGCCACACTGAGATGAATGCTATGACCAGATTTTATTGCAAAACACATATAATCAGTTTTTGAGAAATGTAAAATCAGTGCACCTTACAGTCAGAATTAAAATTTGTTCCCTTTATGTTCGAGGCAAATGAAGCCTACCTAGGGAGTGGCAGTACGACAGGAGTCTGTGGAGAGTCAGAGCACAGTTCAGCTACCTGAACAAGCAGGACTGGACCCCTGTCCAGCCCTTTCCACCCTCTGCCACTACATGGGAGATCCTTCATTAGGACAGTTGGGGGCTCAGAGCCAGTGAATTCAAGTCAGCAAGGCCAGAGTTCCATTCCTGACACCACCAACTCCTACCTGGCATGTAAGCCTGGGCACGCAATGCCAGCTCTCTGTACCTTATTTACCTTTTTCCTATATGAAGACATTATAATATCTATTTCTTTTTTTCATATCCATTTCTTGAGTAGCTAAATAGCACTTAGGACTGCTGTGAAGCACTTAACACAGTGCCTTATACGTAGTAGTTAGCCTATAAATGGTAACCACTATGATGACAATGACAATAACGTATTGTCATTGTTGAATATGATGGTAGTAAATGGAAAAAATGTTGAAGCAAAAGAGCTGAAGAGTTCAAAAGGCAGCAAAAAAAGTATAATAGTGAAATGTGCAAATATCTGGAGCTAGAAAATCAAAAGCGAAGAATACATTTGGCATTTCTCAAGCAGAAAAAAGAGAATGAAAAAAAATTAGGCCTCAAGTATTGAAGGAAGGTCTAGTGGTAAGGAATTGCGCTACCAATGTAAAGGTATGCTGTTCAAATCCACCAGCGGCTCTGTGGGAGAAGGATGGGCAGTCTCCTCCTGTGCAATTAACTGTCTCTGAAAATCTGCTGGAGGGTCATCTCTGGGTTGGTTCCAACTTAATGGTACACAACAACAATAACAAGGGCAAAGAAATGATGCAGGAAGCATCAGAAAAAGATGGCAGGTAAGTCGCCTACCACCTGCCCCCACCTTGTGGCCCATACTTCCTCCTCTCTGTGGTAGTTTCATATTTGCTAAGATGAATTTGAACATTTATTGTATGTATATGTATATGTATATAAAGATGGCCAGTATATGTGGTAGAGCCAACATGTAGCAAAGTTATATAAAATTCTTTTGCTATCATTGTGTTGAGTTCTTTTTGGTGTTGTTGCTAGTTACTTTAGACCATGGAGCTTTCTGTGGTATATCTGTAAGAAGGACATCTCTGAATTTCTCCTGCAGTGCTGGTCTTGTTTTTACAAACTCTCTTAGGTTTTGCTTTTCTGGGAATATCTTGATCTGTCCTTCATATTTGATGGATAATTTTGCTGGGTACCGTATTCTTGGTTGACAGTTGTATTCTTTGAGTGTTTGATATATGTCCTTCCATTCCCTTCTTGCCTGCATGGTTTCTGCTGGGAAATCGGCACTTAATCTTATCTGTTCTCCCTTATAGGTTACTCTTTTTTCTCCCTTGCTGCTTTCAGGATTCTCTCCTTATCCTTAGTTCTGGCAAATTAAACTATGATATGCCTTAAAGTTTTTCTTTTGGGGTTGAATCTATATGGTGTTTGCTGAGCTTCCTGAATATATAGTTATATAAAATTCTTAATCACTCTGGGCAACAAGTTGCTGGCACTAGGGTTTCAAGCAACATAAAGGTCAACTGGCATAACAGAACACACAAAAATAATGTTCTTTATTTTATATTGCTGAGTAATGACTCACCAAATAAGGTTGTAAAAGCTTGCAGGAAGTAATCTAAGGCACAATCATTGGTCTTTGCCTGTGTTAAATGAAGAACACTGAAGAAAATGAAATACGAATAGAAACAAAACCCCTCACAACTGGATCAATGAGCACTATGATAATGGAGGAAAAAAGGACATTGTGGAAGATGTAATTTTATTTGGATCTACACTGTGCTCATGCAAAACCTATACTTGAACCAGGAAGCAATAGTCAGAACAGTGCAGGGAAACACAGCAGGTCAGATCAGGAAAGATGTACGCCACGGAAGCGTCTTGTCTCCATAGCTTTTCAATCTATATGCAGAACAGATCATTTGGGAGGCTGGACTTTATAAAGAGAGAGGAATGTGGCATCAAGATTAGAGGAAGACTCTTCAACAACCTGTATTATGCAGATGACACAACCTTGCTTGCTGATACTGAGGAGGACATGAGGTGCTTGCTGCAGAAGGTCAAAGCCTGTAGTCTTCAATATAGATTGAAGCTGTCAAGAAAACAAAGATTCTCACCACTGGGACAACCGGCAGCTTCATGATAGACGGAAAAAAGATTGAGATTGTTAACAACTTCAGCTTGCTTGGTTCCATAATCAACATTCTTGGCACTAGCAGTCAGGAAATCAAAAGAATTGTGTTGGGAAAATCTGTTTCCAGGGACTTTTTGAGTACTGAAGAGCAATGATGTCTGTCAAGAGACCAAGGCATACCTGATACAAGCCACGATCTTCACAATTACTTGTTATGTGCAAGATAGCTGGACAATGACTAAGGATGATAGAAGAATTGATGCTTTTGAGATGTGGTGCTAGAGACGAGTGTTGTTTTGCCAGGTGAACAAACAAGTCTGACCTAGAGAGAATGAAACCAGGCTGCTCCCTAGAGGCAAGCATTTTGAAGCTCTGTCTCACATTCTTTGGGCATGTGGCCAGGAGGGACCAGTCCTTGGAGAAGGACATCACGCTTGGAAGGGTTGAGGGACAGCACAGGAGAGGAAGACCCAAGATGAGATGGATTGACTCAGTGACTGAATAAATGAGATTAGTTCTGTAGGAGATAATGAGATTGGCTCAGCATTGGGCAGGGTTCAGCGCTATTGTACTTAGGATTGTTATGAGTCACAGGTAACTCAACTGAACACAACTACAACCACCACCCTCAATGCTCATGGAAAAAGCTGTTAAGAAATTGTATTGGAGGGAGTTCTGGTAGCCTAATGGCAAAAAGCTGCACTGTAATCCCAAAGGCGTGCTGTTTGAATCCACCAGATTCTCTGTCAGAGAAGGAGGGACAAACTCCTCCTGTGTCAGTTGGATCCGACTCGACAGTACACAACAAGAAAAAAAAAAAGAAATTGTATTGGGTCAGTTTCCTGCAAAAGACCTCTTTAAAAAGTGTTAAAAAGCAAAGATGTCACTTTGAGGACTAAGATGTGCCTGATTCGAGCTGTGGTATTTTCAGTCGCCTTATATGCATGAACAATGAAAAAGGAAAACGGAAGAAAAATTAATGAGCTTGTCTACAGTGTTAAAGAACATTAACCATAACATGGACTATCAGAATAATGAACAAATTTGAGTACATTGTATATGGTACAGAAGAGTGAGTGAAAAAGAGGAAGATTCTCACTGGAGTGAATTAACACAGTGACTGCAACCATGGGCTTAAACATAGCTGTGATTGTGAGGCTGGTGCCCATAGGGTCACTTAAATCAGAAAAATGACTTGCCAGAACCTAATAATAATAATAATAATAATAATAATAATAATACATTATGCCTAGTAGGTTTATGTCAAAACAGAAATCAGGCATTTAATTTAAACAGTTTAATCCCAAATATTAGGTGAAAATAATTTAGTTCCAAATTTTCTGGTGGAGGGTTCAAAAATAATTCCAGAAACCATGAAAAAGCTTCCTTACTAAAGGCATGGATGAGTAAGCAAGGAATTAATGAAAGAAGAATAGGCAAATAATAATAATAGAACAAAGTGACTCTGAGGATAGCACGTAACAGAATTACTGAAAGAAATGGATTATGGGGCTTCACAGAAGCCAATCAGTTTGAAAAGTCTCAAGTTCTATAAAAAAAGAGGACGAGAGAGAACATGTAGGTAGGAAAAAGGAAGTACTTAAAATTTCACTGTCTAACATTTGTTTTCAAACAAATTACCTTTACTCATTCAGGTCACACCAAAGATGTATATTGTTTTTTCCCTATTTCTAGGTTGATTACTGATATAGAGAGTTGTTTCATCATCTGTTCATACACTTACCTAACTGTACGTCAGTTGTGAATCGTAGTCTGTGGATCATGCTGACTTTGAATGACTTGTAATGGTGGCTGCTAAGCATATCCTGTACTGTAGCTATGTCAATTTGCGAGTCCTCCTCAAAAGTCCCGTCTGCCCTTGAACCTGGGGAGAAAAAAGCACTTTAACACATAAAGATACATGAGGCTTGGCAAATAGTGTCTGCTTAAAATGCTTTGGGATAAATTAAAATAATATGGGCTATTTAATTTGGAGAAGAAAAGGCTGAGTGATGACTTAATAATGCCATTCCAGTAAACAGTGAATGGTAACATATTAATCATCCAACAATTAATTCCACAAACACTGCCTATACTATGGCAGGCTCTTGGCTGGACAATAGGAAAAAGAGGATAGAAAAATGCCAGTTTACCAGAAGCTCTTGGTCTCCCTAAATGTAAGGTAAAATCATGAAGAGATTGAACAGTCATATTTCCTGTTTATTCCTTAATAATGGCTTTTCTAGTCACAAATGCAATATGCATTCCTTACAGAATAACTCTCCTTTTCATTTTTCCCAACTAAAACTAAAATTCACAGCTATTTAGTTAATTCTGATACAGAGCAACCCTACAGGACAGAGGAGGATTGCTCAATAAGGTTTCCGAGGCAGTACATATTTATGAGCACATACTAGCTCATCTTTCTCCTGAGGAGTGCTGGGTGGAGTTGTACCTCTGACTTTTGGGTTATCATCTAAGGCTTATTCCATTGTGCCACAAGGACTCTTGAGATTCCTAAAACATCTAAATCATCTTCCCACTTTGGAGCCTACAACTTCCAAGTTGATTCAGGCTTGAACCTCTTCATATTTGGAAAGCTATGACCATCTCTTTACTGGCCTTCCAGCCATCAGGCTCTCTGCAATCTGATTCTCAAGCTTGGATCATTCATACACTCATCAAGCATTTAGTGCAAGCATTTAAACACTAAGTATTATGACATGTAAAACTGAGGCCAAGTAAAGACTGGTGCTCAAAATGTTTCCTTTGGCCTCCCCAACAAACCATACTTCTTTTGCCCCAGCCAGATAACCAAGGTGGTCTATGGTTGAGATAAAAGTTTCCAGTTTTCTTGTCACTTCTCATATACACCTTCTCTCAGATCCTCTGGAATACCTCGGACTAAACATAGGCCCAGGTTTTTCTACTTCTGGGTCTTTCTTCATTGTATCCTTGACCTAGAATACCCCATCTACATGGACTTATCAAAATCCTGCCCAGGCTAGTTCAAATCTTACCACCTTCATGAAAATTCTTCCTGATGGCTCTGTTTGGCAGTAAAATACCATAACATTTGAACCTCCGAGCCAGGGAGATTTGGGATGGACTCCTAGCTTTGCTTCTAGCTCACTATGCAATCCTAAGCAAATGACTTTACCTCTCTGAACTCCAGTTTTTGCTATTTACATGTCAAAAGTATGCAAAGAACCTAATACTGAAAAGATTGTAATACAAAAGATACAATAAATAGCAGTGCTTGTGGCTTAGTGATAAGGAGTTGCACTGCCAACCCAATGGTTTGAATCTATCAGCTTCTCTGTGGGAGAAAGATGGACAATATCCTTTGCAATTTACTTTCTCTAAAAACCTTCATGAGGGTCAGCTATGAGTCAGTCCTGACTTGAGCATATATTACAACAATAACAGCAACATGATTATATTTATTCAAATGCCTCAGAAAATAGCATTCGGCCTTGTATCAGAATTGTTTAGTGGTTAGTCTGTCCTAATTTGGAAGCTTCTGAAGGTCAATAAAGCTAAATATTCACCTTTCTCTTTCTCTTCTGCAAGGAGTGTAATGTCTGATATGGGAATACACTCACTAAATTTTGATGAACAAATAATGAATGATAGTAAGAGCTAATACGTATGAGAGCTTACTACACACAAGACATACATTCAAGCTGCATGATAATCTGGGAGGTCCTATATTTTTCCATAGTATACAGAAGAGGAATCTGAGGTTTTAGAAGACCAGAGATATACAATTGCACTCTTGGGCCCCACTATTTGAAATGTGGTCTCTGCAAATTGCACCTGCTGACACCACTTGCTGGTATGAAGGGGAGGGGAAGAAGCACCTGTCTAGCTGAGGCTAACCAGAGCAAGGTACTATCGTCCTCTGGGAATTTCATAGGGAAGCGCTGGAGTACATTGGAGGAATGAAACACATTAGATTTGGGTATAAAACTAAAACATTCAGGGAGCTCTGGCTGTCTACTGGCAAGACGCTGCACCATAATCCCACAGGTTCATGGTTTGAATCCACCAGATGCTCTGCTGGAGAAGGAAGGACAATCTCCTCTGATGCCAGTTGGATCTGATTCGACAGTATATGTTTGAAAAAAAAAAAAAGAAAGCCACCAAAAAACCCAAACCAAAATACTAGAACATTCTTTCTTAAAATTTTTTTTTTCATTTCTCTAGTTGTGTACCTTCCAGTTGGATCCAACTGACATAAGAGGAGATTGCTCCTCCTTCTTCAGCAAAGCACTGGTGGATTTGAACTGTGCACCTTCGAGATTGTAGCATAGCTTCTTGCCATTAGGCCACCAGAGTTTCCTGGAAAATTCTGATATTTATATTCTTTTTCTTCCCACAGATATGGTTGATAGGGCAAGATTTTTACGTCTCATGTTGGTTTAACTAATTTATTAAGAACTGCATATTCTATACCTCAATATAAAAACTAATTGCTGCTGAATCCGAACAGTGGACCCTCAAGCAGGTTTCAGAGGCTGTCAACTGCATGGGAGGAATGCACAGGAATCCACCTGCAGAACCTCTGGTAGAATCGAACCCCAGAGAGGTGCTTTCTTTGGGTTAGCAGCATAACTGTACAGACTACACTACCCGAGCTCTATACACCTCAATACAGAGAAAACAAAGTCATCATCACAACTGGTCTAAGACATAATATCATGATAACTAGAGAAAAGACTGAAGTCACCAATGATCTGATTTTACTTGGATTCACTCTTGGAAGAAGCAGACAAGAAATCAAATGATATATTGCATTGGGCACATTTGCTCCCAAAGACTTCTTTAAAGAGCTAATGAAAAAAAAAAAAAAGAGCTAATGAGCAAGCATGTCTCTTCAAAATTAAGGCATGCCTCACCCAAGCTATGGAATTTTTACTTGCTTCATATGTATATGAAAGCTAGGCAAAATAAGAAGACTAAAGAAGAATTAATGCTTTTAAATTGTAGTGTTGGTGACTATGCAATATACCATAGAGAATGTAGACTATGCCAAAAAGAGTAAACAAATCTGACTTGGAAGAAATGCAGCCAGGTTGTTCCTTAGAAGGATGATGGGCTTGGTCTCATGTACTTTGAGGACATACATAAACAGGAAGGATCAGCTCTTAGACAAAGCCATCACATTTGGAAAATTAGAGGTTCAGTCAAAAACAGAAAGACTCTCAAAGAGATGAACTGACATAGCAAGTGCAAGTATGGGTTGAAGCACGGGTGGATAGGCAGAATCAAGCAAGATTTTGTTCTGTTGTACATAGGGTGACCCTGAGCTGGAGCCAATTTGATGCCAGAGCTTGGTGGCTCAGTAGCTAAGGAACTGTGGTGCCAATGCAAAGGTATGCAGTTCAAATCCACCATCTGCTCCATCCAAGAAAGATGGGCAATTTCCTTCCATGTGATTAACTGCCTCTGAAAACTTACTGATGGTTCAGCCACAGGTCGGTTACAACAACAACATTTCTAAACACTGAAATTATTTCCAACTGGGACCATTCTAGCACATACAATAGTGTTTGTCCCTCAACTAAGATGCAGTCTCCGCAGAATCCCGTCTTAAAGCAGTTTGCACATGTTACTCTCTCTGGCCAGGTCACTTCCTCCTGATCTATTCCTTTTGGCATCCTCCCTTATCCTCCTGAAGAGCTTAGTGTGACATTCCAGGAATCCCTTGATGACTTCCATCTTCACTTAAGATCGTCCTGTTACTCCTCCTTCCCCTCACTGTATTTTGCATTCTTCCTTCAGAATATTTCTAGATATAGTAATCATATGCCTTTCTCTAGATGGTAAATTTCAAGAAGGCAGGGAAAATGATGTTTTACTTACTACTCGGGCTCAGAGCCTGCTAATGTTACCATGTATAGAATAAAGCAGGAGCTCGATATAAACTTACTGGGTGAATATCAAGTACCATAGGAAGCACTCACAGGAAGGGGCAGCTCAGAGAGGGAGGGAGACACTTAACCAACATGATATACACACACCTACCCCTCTGCTAGTATGCAGCAGAGTTCATTCAGTGTCTGCAAAAGTCATTGGTAAGCATTGCATACTTTCCTTGGAATTCACATATTTTCTCACTACTGGGCCAATTGGCAGCACCATGATGGACAGAGAAGAGATTGAGGTTGTTAATAATTACAGCTTGCTTAGCTCCACAATCAACACTCTAGGCACCAGCAGTAAGGAAATCAAAACACAAATTGCATTGAGAAAATCTGCTGTCAGTGACATCTCCAGAGTATTGAAAAGCAACGATGTCAGTCTAGAGACTAAGGTGCACTTGATCCGGGACATGGTCTTTTCAATTACTTGTTATGAATCATAGAGCTAGACAATGACTAAGGATGACAGAAGAAGAATCGATGCCTTCGAATGCTGGAGAAGAGTCCTGAACATAATATGGACCACCAAGAAAGCCGATAGGTCTGCCTTGGAGAGAGTGAAACCAAGTTTCTCCTTGGAGGCTAAAATTTTGAAGTTTCATTTCACATGCTTTGGGCATGTAGCCAGAAAAGAGACTGGTCCTTGGTGGTTATTATGTTCGGAAGGGTGGAGAGACAGCGGAAAGGAAGACCCTGGATGAGACGGATTGATACAGAAACTAGAGCAATGGGGTGGGGGGGATGGGGTTGGTGTGTTGGGGTCAGTGAGACTGGCTCAGGATAGGGCAGGCTCCAGAGCTGTTGTCACTATGAGCAGCAGGTGATTTGATGGCACATAACAACAACAACAACAACAACAACAACAAAACGAGAGAGATACAAGAATCATGATCATGATTGTTTCCTAAAAAAGGGCACATCCTGAACCAAGAGGCTGACTATAATTTAGAATAACCAT